AAAAAAATTTTAGTTGTAATTGGACACAATATCTTTATTTTATTTTTATGTGGTGCTAAGGATCGAACCCAGGGTGCCTCACACATGCTAGGTGAGCGCTCTACCACTGAGCCATAATCTCAGCCCCACAAACTATTTTTAAAAATCCAGTATATACCAGTTCTTACCCACTGATATTCTAATTCTGAGATATGAATCCTTTTGGTTATAATGTTTATTTTTATGTATTTACATATAATTTTTGAGTAAAAAATCATTTTTTGACTCTAAGGTCTATGCATTTATATAGCAAAACATCCTTTTATGCCACTGACAATAAATAAATTTCTAGTATAAACATATYTATAAATCCACACTTCTTCCTTCTAAACTGAAAATCATTTAAAGCATTGAGGAGCGAAAAACCCCAACTAAATGTAACAATATGGAGCAAGTATCAATTCCACTATCATGCTTAATTATAAAGTATAAAAATAAGGAAGAAAATGYAAAACATTCAATTGCATTTCTAACAAAACCATGAGATCAATGTAATCCTCAGAATCCAGGTGAGACTTAAGAGCCATCCAGTTTACAAAAAGCAGCATCTATGTAGGAGGAAGTAGGAATGATAGTAGCCTTTTATTTTTCCAGAAATAACCTTTTTATCTATCAGTGCTTCACAACTTTCCATGTGATTCAGTGTTTTACCACTCTCTAATGTCTTACCAGGAGGAGTAAAACAGAGATTTTTTCTGCTTTACTGTGTTGAAGTCATAGAACTTTAAGACACCCGGCACAGCTTGAGGATTCTCCTTTTGCTTTCCTTTGGGGACACTGTGCCAATGAGGTTTGTGCCAATGGAGCCCAGTGCTCTGGTATGCCCTAACAAAGAGAAATTCAGAAATGAATTGTAGTTTGAATTGCTCTAATACAATTAATTTTCAGAGATAAATTTCAAAATACATAAAACAAACTATACATACAATTTTAGATTTGATTAAGTCTAGTTTTCTAAATTTCTACTTTTCCATAACTATTTTGCAAATGAACAGGAAAGATCAAAACAGAGTACTACTGGGAATGGAGTGCTGGGTTTGTTTGGGGATAAGGACAGAAGTGTAAAACCTGTATTTCCTCCTGTTAATCAACCAGCCAAGTAGCTCCCTAATTTACAAGGCTTAAGCCAAGAGCAAAAGACAAGGGACAGCAAACAGGAAGAAGGATGATTGCTTATGTCTGGTTCTGGTCTAGGCATGAGACAAATAGAGAACACAGGGCAGCAGGCCCATTCCCACTTCAGCACTTCAGGAAATACAAATTTAGGGTTTTGAAACCAAGAACCCAYCTTATACAGTGTTTACTGTTCCATGTCTTGTTTGAGGCGAGAGAGCTACCAGGGATTGAGCTCAGGGGCACTCAACCACTGAGCCACAACACAAGCCCTTTTTATTTTTTAAGACAGGGTCTCACTAAATTGCTTAGGGCCTCACTTAGTTGCTGAGTCTGGCTTTGAACTTGCAATCCTCCTATGTCAGCCTCCTAGGCTGCTGGGATCACACTCATGCTCCATGGAACCCAGCAGTACAGTACAGTTTCCCCCTTAATCCATTCAAAATGATCTAGTAGTACATTAAATGGTTATGTTATATTTTAACCAATTTACCACTAATGACATTTAAACTGATTTTTTACTACATTTTGATATCTAAATAAAGGGACAAAACCCTTAATCTATGCTATTTTATTGTTTCCCTAGGACACAC